GAGAGAATGGAAGGGAAAAAGTTGGAAGAGTTCATTGGCTGACTGGCTTTTGCAAACTGTTTTTTTCTTCTTCTGCAAAATAAGGCATTGGATGTCATTATGCAAACACTCAAAGTAGACAAACTGAAACTGATACAAAGGGAATTCCTAACAACCCTTTACAGTCGAACATGTATGGTAGCTTAATGAGATCCCAAAAATCTATGAACTGTAACTCATAAAATTAAGCAAAATTCAGCAACAGGCGATGCAGCTAGAGTTGCTGGTCCCCAGGCCAGAAGTCAGTAGTCTACAGTCAGAGAAAGACTCCATTAACGAAGAAGAAAAGTTTGAAGCTCATATTTAAAGAAAAAAAACAAAACATCTGGAGAATAATGGGGATTCGATTACAGCAATTCTCTAGGTCACTTTGCCAATCTAAATGAGGGAATTTCCTGCATTTTCTCTACAGCTAAATCCACTATTTTTCAGATATGTCAGATGGGGAATGATTGTAAAAAGGCTGCTGGGTCTATTACAGGTAGGCTGAAATTTGACTCTGCTTAGAGATTGGGCAGGGTACTCAGAAATATTCTGCCCTCTAGTGAGGTTTATGCTTCCCAACAACAGAGAGAGGAATGTTTTTAGTGGCAAAGCCAGTTAAATTTCCTCGCGTAGATGTGGTTCAGATGCAATGCTAGTGGATGCTTTTTGCTTTGTCCCAGGTTTCGCTATTCTATTAAGAGGATGAAGCTGGCAATCATATAGGTCCACACATAAAAAAGAATTCCATGAACTTTTAGGGCCCAGCTAACTGGCTTAATCTTACAAAACTAAGTAGACTCAACCTCTGCTCTTCAAGCTTCCCTCAATTTGCAAAGGTAGGTTTTGAGAAGTTATCTTTGCCTCTCAGGATGAATAACTGGTTGGAAGAGAATGCACCGATCCACAAATGATGTGTACCTGTTACGGATTGTGTGCGCATCATGTGTCCTCCCCCCTGCGAATGTTGGTTTGACAAACTAAGAAAGCGCGCTGCATCAGTTGTAGTAGTTATGAGTGCATCCCTGAGACCCGAAAGAACAGGTTAGGGATCAATCCAAAGTGAAGCTATCGAGGTGGCCGGCGCTTAAAACCGCTTTTTGACGCATATAATAATCGATCAAAAACCTTGCAAACGAGTGTTTTTCAGCTTGATGACGCTAGAGGGCGCTCCATGCAATGAGTAACACCTACCGGTAAAAAGCGGGTCAATACAGTAGAGCGGCGTCGATGGTGGGTGAGTACCCACATCCAACGGGAGGGGGAGCGACGGAGCCTAAAGGTGTTGAAACAATAGAGTCGTCGATTTCTAGAGAGGATGTGGAAGAGAGGAGAACAACAGAGGGATCTCCTTTTCCGGCTGACCCATCGGAGGATGGAGGCGTTGGGGATACCTCTCCTGCTTTCCCAGGACTTTAGCTGCTGGAAGGTGAGTTGAGGACAGGTCGGAGGAGAAGCCGGGTGCAAGTAGGGCTGTTTCGATTCCTCCACAGTGTAGAAGCAAAGAAGAAACCAGGCTGAAACATATCAGCTGTTGCAGCCTGTTCCTTCCCTCTCCAAATGTTGCTCTAGAGTTGCTTGTTGGGTTCTCCTGCTTGGATGGGTGACCTGTAGTATATACCTATGATGGTGGAGATGAGTACCGCGTCCTAGAGTCAGAACAGAATGACAGGGGAATCTTTAGACTAACTTTATTACCACTTTGAATGTTCACTAACTGGCATACATTATCATGAAATTTCATTGCACACAGCTCTCAAAGAGTCACCACCTCCAATATACACTACAGAAACATGACAAAATAATTAAATACAAAATTACGCATATATCCACATATATTATATGACACAGTGAAACAACACAGTCTAGTTTAGATGTATACATGTACATGGCAAGAAAAACGAATCCTGTGAGTTTTCCAGGCGGATGGCACAGGGAACAAAGCTGTTACAGAATCTGGAAGTCCTGATACTTTGAAACCTCATCCCAGAGGGGAGCAACAGAAACAGACCGTGAAGTGGGTGTGTGGGGTCTCTAACAATGCTTTGAGCTCTAAGCACATAATGTTTATAAGCAGTATGCTGAATAATGGGAATCCAGCTTCCTATAATCTTCTCGGCTGTCCTCACCACTCTCTGTATGGACTTTCTATCTGAGGCGCTGCTGCCACCAAACCAAACAGGGATGCAGTTTAGATAACAGATAATCAGAGTTGGAAGGGACCTTGTAGGTCATCTAGTCTAACCCCCCACCCAAGCTGGAGACCCTATGCCATTTCTGACAAATGGCAGTCCAATCTCTTCTTGAAAGTCTCAAGTGATGGCGCTCCCAAAACTTCCGAGGGCAATCTGTTCCATTGGTTGATTGTTCTCACTGTCAGAAAGTTTCTCCTTATTTCCAGGTTAAATCTCTTCCTTGTTCAGTTTCCATCCATTATTCCTTGTCTGGCCTACAGGTGCTTTAGAAAACAGCTTGACCCCCTTCCTCTCTGTGGCAGCCCCTCAAATATTGGAAGACTGCTATCATGTCTCCCCTGGTCCTTCTCTTTACTAGACTAGCCAAGCCCAGTTCTTGTAACTGTTCTTCATATGTTTTACTCTCCAGTCCCCTAATCATCCTGGTTGCTCTTCTCTGTACTTTTTCTAGAGTTTCAACATTTTTTTTATAATGTGGTTTGTTGAAATGCTCACAATTGTGCCTCTGTAAAAAGTGGCTATGGCAAATCTGTATAATCTGTCCTCAGCCTTTTCTGATATATTTGAAAATAAGAGTTTGCACTGCTAAGAGTTTGTGATTTAATGAAGTCCAGAAGGGAATTTAATGTTTGTGTAGATATTTGAACTTGGATCTCGCTAGTTTTCTCGGGGTTAAATGAACCATAGTTAATGTTAGAGGTTAAAGTAGCATTTTGGCATGTTTGCTTTTTCATTATAATCCAGGCTTTTCTGTCTTGCTGTTTTTGCATATTTGGCAACAACTTTATAAAAACCATTAAACTGAGGGTTTGTGTCCATTTTTTAGAAAAAGAGGATGCCAGGAAGATCATTCCAGACAAGTGAGAATCCAAACCAGCATTAAAAAAGAAAGAAAATGAAGCCAGCTTTGAAAGTCTTTTCTGCCTCCTCCAGAAAAATGAAAAAAACCTTCGTTCACAGGAAGGTGTCAGACAAAAGAGAGAATAACAGGAACAAAATTTTGAGCTAGAAAAAAATGAGTATATGGAACTCAGGGAAGCATTGCAGAGAAAGGTCAAAGGGATAATTTGCAAATTCAGAAAAATGGAAATAATCTGGAAATCAGTAGGGAGGAAGGGGTCACTTGTATAATTACACTGGACAGGCTGTCATGCAAGCCTTGCCCTGTGAAGAAAGCATAGCTTGAATGAAAGCAACATCCAAGATAATATTTTTGATCTTGAGAATCCAAAAATATCAATCTGTGGGAAATCCTCAGATTGTAGATCACACCTGATTATACACGAGAGGAACCACACTGAAGAAGAGTCTACCCACTGTCCTCAATGTGGCACAAGATTTAGGAAACATGCTACCCTAGTAACACAAAAGAGGCCTGAAATGGGGGAGAAGTCATTTGGGTGTTCTGACTGTGGGAAAACATTCAGTAGGAATTCTCACCTCGTGACACACCAGAGGACACACACAGGAGAGAAACCCTTTGAGTGTCCAGATTGTGGGAAAGGCTTCAGTCAGAATTCCCACCTGGTGACACACCAGAGGACTCACACTAGGGAGAAAGCATACGAATGTCCAGATTGTGGTAAAGATTTCAGTCACAATTCCAACCTGGTGATTCACCAGAGGACTCATACAGGAGAGAAGCCCTATGAGTGTCCATATTGTGGGAAAGCTTTCAGTCATAATTCCAACCTTTTGAAGCACCAGAGGACTCATACAGGAGAGAAACCATATGAGTGTCCAGATTGTGGGAAAGGTTTCAGTCAGAATTCCCACCTTCTTAAACACCTGAGGACTCACACCCGGGAAAAAAGTTACAAGTGTCCAGATTGTGGGAAATGTTTCTTCTGTAATTCCAACCTGATGATGCACCAGAGGACTCACGCGGGGGAGAAGCCATATGAGTGTCCAGATTGTGAGAAAAGTTTCAGTCAGAATTCCAGCCTTGTTAAACACCTGAGGATTCACACTCGGGAGAAACGGTACAAGTGTCCAGATTGTGGGAAAGGTTTCAGTCATAATTGCGACTTTGTGAAACACCTGAAAACTCACAGAGGAGAGAAACCCTTTGAATGTCCTGATTGTGGGAAAAGTTTCAGTCACAATTCTAAGCTTGTGAAACACCAGAGGACTCACACAGGGGAGAAACCGTATAAGTGTTTGGATTGTGGAAAATGCTTCAGTTGGTATTCTGGCTTAGTGATACACCAGAGGACTCATACAGGAGAAAAACCCTTTGAATGTCCTGATTGTGGGAAAGGTTTCAGTACTAGAACTAACCTTATAAATCATGTAGCTTTACACACAGGGGAGAAACCTTTCAAGTGCCCAGAATGTGGAAGGTGCTTTACATATTATTCCTCTCTTACTGCACACAAGAAAATCCATACGAAGCATAAGCTGATGACTGTAGGGGAGGCTTGAATTTCATTTCTGAGTTGCCTTTAGAAGTATGGCTGAGAAATTAAGTATTTACTTTCTGGCCTGATTGTGTTTAGCCAAAGATGTCTCATGTTAGGCATGAGGGAGGAGAGAAAAGAAATGAAATGGAAAAGGTTAGCTTGATCAAGGTTAACTACTTGTGTCTTGGCTATCAGCAAAATGTAGTGGATATTCCCTGTTGCAAAAATAATGCAACTGTGCCAAAAGTTTTTGGGGATGATTTTTGCATATAGAATAAATGAGGTCGTAGAAAAGCAAAATACAGATTTTAAGAAACCTACAGATGCTAAGATATATATATTAGAAGATAGGAGCACGTTGATTTACTTAGTGATTATAGCTTCCCAAATATGAGATAATGGGAGCAGAGTTTTCATCTTTTCCTAACATTTTCAGAAATTCAGGGTAAGATGAATCCAGATGGTGAAGAGTCAAGCAAGAACAGTGACCCCCAGAATGGAGAACATATGAGGGAGGTTTGGGGCAGTAACAAGAGCACAAATACCTTGCAAGTAAAAGTTGTTGACCATGGCATGCAAATGCTTTTGGAATATAGAGAAAAACAGAACAAGGTTTTTGAATGTAGGATCTTCAGGTTTTCTACCAACTCCTGCTATGCTTGGAGGTGCCTCTTGTTATCCTTTGAATGCTGGTGTGTGATAGCAGTGGAAGTTGCTAATTTTTCCCCCTGAATTTAGAAGACACCAAAGAATTCAAGGGTTCCCCTTGTCAATAACACAGCTCAGGTTATAACACAATGTGCCTGTGAACTCGAACACACAGAAACTACAAAGCACATATTTCTCCAGGGGCTTTATTAAACCGACATTAATATCGGGCTTGTCTTTCCAATACTGCATAAATACTCAGGCCGCACAGAACAATTCTACAGATGCTGCTCTCAGAGTCGCTCTGATACAAACCACAGTACTATGTCTCCAGGTTCTGCAGAGCAGCACTTAAAATTGGTCTGATGATGGATGACCTGTGCCATAAAGTAGTCTTAAGGATTATACTGTGTGCACTGTAGAGCGATAGATTTAATCTGACACGTGCTAAACTTAATGTACCCTATAGGAATCTTATGCTCCTTGCAGTGTTCTTAGATCCATTTAGGCCTCTGTTTTTATATATATACTCTGTCATTTATGTCTCTCTTTTTTTTTATATAATTACTATTTTTATCCTGTGATTACTTTCTCTACTTTTTAACTGACTGCACCCTACATTCAGTGGTGGGATTCAAAATTTTTTACTACCGGTTCTCTAGCCGTGGCTTGGTGGGTGTGGTGTGGTTTGGTGGGCATGGCTTGGTGGGCATGGCCAGGGGTGGGATTCAAATTTTTAATAACTGGTTCTGTGGGCGTGGCTTGGGTACTGGGCGTGGCTTGGTGGTCATGTGACTGGGTGGACATGGCTTGGTGGTCATGTTATTGGCTGGGTGTGGCCAACTCAACATCACTCACATTGAGGCACGCATCTCCTCACCTGGCCTCTCGTGACTGTGGGGATGCTGTAACAATCATAAGTGTGAAAAATGGTCATAAGTCACTTTTTTCAGTGCCATTGTAACTTTGAATGGTCACTCCACACAAGCAAAGTACCAGTAAAGGAGGGGAAAAAAAACTCCAGAGAAGTTCCTGAGATAGGAAGTCTAGCCCTGCCAAGAATGTAATAAGGGTTAATGGAGAGGCAGTTTCTGTAAGCAACACCAGAATGTTTCCTTCCTGCCATTCTTATAGGATTAGGCCAGTAATTTCTTCTAACAACCAGTTCTCCGAACTGCTTAGAATGTTAACAACTGGTTCTAGCGAATAGGTGCGAACTGGTAGAATCCCACCCCTGGGCATGGCAGGGGAAGATTACTGCAAAATCCCATTACCTTCCCAGCCCACTAACCTGCTTTCCAGCTCTGTTCTCCTGTGCAGGGAAACCAAAGAAGACCCAGCCAACCAGCTGGGACTTGGGAGACCGAGAATAGATGGGGGCAGGGCCAGTCAGAGGTGGGATTTGCTGGTTCTCCGAACTGCTCAAAATTTCTGCTACCGATTCTCCAGAACTGGTCAGAACCTGCTGAATACCACCTCTGCCCATATTCATTGTGCTGGTCTTTCACTGTAATAAACTTTTTAAACTATAAAATAATCCAATTATATTTTTGTCATATTTAATTCTTTCCTTTTGGTGTTATTTTTTGGCACCTCTGTTTTTATGGCTTAGGCACTAAAAATGCTTGAAATAGCTCAAAAGCTTCTGGATCTCTGAGAGAAGCATTCCGTAATGCAGACAGGGGCTACAGCATTCTGATGTCTTTGCGGAACAAAGTGGAACATTATCATAGAGAGAATGGAAGGGAAAAAGTTG